TGTGATATTTCTTATATGTGAAGTAAGTAGTCGATCTCATAAACTAAAGTATGATGACACTTAAATGAATATGTGGATGTTTTGTTATAAAATAAAACATTGGAGAGCAATTGGGGAGATTCTACATAAATAACTATTTGAGTGTCAGTGATTAATTTTTAATGTTTAGCAGTGGAATTGGTCATTCGACTTGAGGTCGTCGTGGTGTCTTATATGAGGACAGTCATACTTTGGTGATATTAGATGTTGTTCTGCCAAGAGTCGTCAACATGACATCATTCGAGTATATCAAAAATCATATGAAAGTTGTAAATGATCAATACATTATTCGTCACTCTTAGATAGTAACAGATTAAGATTTATATTTCATTCAATTAAATTGATAACGAAATCATTGGCTAAGGTATACTCATAAGTCGGAAATAAATTTTTGACTTACATTGACTTAATAGTGGTGCGAAAAATATGATTGATAATTGAGATTAACACATATCAATATCTCATAATTGATTGGATTATATTGACGAAATGATTATAGTTTCACAGGTAAACGAACAAATTTGATTTTGTCATACAATGAGACATTTTCCGTGAGATGTATTGTCCTGAAAAATTGTTAGATGTCAATATGAGACGATAAATGTGAATCGATGATAAATTAAAATGAAATATTTTAATTTATCGATTTTAATTAGATCAAAATAATAATTAACGTTGTTAGTATCGTGATCGGAAATCTAATGAATCACACATAAAAGGAGAACTAAAAGAATGAGATTCACCAATTAATTAATTAAGAAGTGTTGGACAATTAATTATTTGAGTTGCTCATTAATAGGCTCTAATTAATTAATTCGTGAACCAAAACAAATTAATTGGATTAATTAAATATTGGATCAGGTCAGGTTTAAGACACGAGCCAAACCCATTTGAACTTTTATTTATAGGTTGTTAGGGTTAGAAAAATCATAAGAGAACACGATTCATATTCTTTTGCCAACAGAAGAAAAGAAAAACCTTAACTCTCTTATTCTTGTTCCCTGTGTAAATTTTCATTAGAGTTTGGACAATTGAATAGTTGTGGATTGCAAATCGTAATTGTCTGTGTTTAAGATAAGCAAATGAGTTTGTAGAATTCAACAAATGTATATTTTCTATTACAATTTCTATTTAAACACAAAGCATTCATTTGATAAAAAGTGGTTATTTTTCGTTATTCGTGATTAAGTAAATTCCCAATATATATATCTCACATACTTTTGTCTCTTCGTTCCTTGTAGATGGATTGAGAACCATGATGTTATGAAAGTTAATTTCTAAAAGTAATTTGTCCTTCGAAACAATTTTTCATATCAATTACGGAATCTATGTTTTGAGATTACATTATTTAATAACATAATCTTTTTTTTTTTTTTTGAGACTTCATTGTGCTCTTCATCATCTTGCGACTTGTAAAATACGGAAAATGCTTGGACTCCATCAAAAAGTGGTCTAATATACTCGTTCTATCCACCTAGGACATGTTCGATTTCATGGCTACTATATTATACACCAATACATTTAGGGAAAAATTCATATTTATAAGGCTTTGTTTGATTGCCACATTTTTCATGAAAAATGTCATATTTGAAGAAAATGAATTTCACTTTGACTGTTTGATTACAACGTGAAAATGAAAATCGAATTTTAAGGTACAACCACTTTAAGTTGGATTTTCTTTGTTTTAATAGAAAATGAATTCTTATGAGTTTGGTGAGTTTTTTTTTTTTCAACAACATGGAATTGAAATTCTTTTTCACATTTGTCTATCAAAGGGACCCTAAATGATTACATTTACGGCCTAAATTTTAACTAAATAAGCCAAATTCAAATATTGCACAATTTATGAGTCATGTACACAAGGACATAGTTACATATCTCAAAATTTATAGGTATTAAATCTCAAGACGCAATTAATAGGTCACAAATGATTTATTGTTCACAATTGCATAACTAATTGGTCACCATCACTATTTTTCCCACCCCTCCCCTCCCCTCCCCTCCCCTCGTCTTTTCTCTCGTTCTTCACCCGACTTCTCCATTGTTCTACCATCAACATTGGATCCAATAATGAGGTTCGAGGATGTAGGATTGGGACGTGCACTCGTCCAATGACTAAGGACCATCACAAACCACGAACTACAAACGAAAAGTCAGCATTGAGGTCCATGGACGACGACGACGACAAGACAAATCACAAAAGCAAACACCCATCTTTTTCACCCTTCTATATCATTATCTCCATCATCACTCCTCCAGTTCGTCACGATATTAGTGGGGAATGGATAACGCCACCTCATAGCGGCCGGATCTATAATCATCGTCGGACCACCAGATCTAGAGTCGTCGAACCATTCCAATTGCGGTGTTACTACCATTGAAGAGTCTAGTGGATAGTCTCCACCACTAAAATGGCACTTGAGCTTGCTTTTCTCGGACTTGGGCTTGGAGGAAATGGCCTGAAAAGTTAAACCATCGCCACTGTTGATGGAGGCCAATTTTTGCTTGTGGACATCGCCTCTCCTCATCGTAGTCGAAAAATGTGGACGCTAGAATTTTTTTTCCCCAATTTCCTTTTTGAAGGGGTGGGGTAGGGCGTATATTATTTTCAACGTTTGTGTTACATGTACTTAATAGATTTATATAATAATTTACATAAAATTTACATTATGATTTACATACAACCTTTGTTGACAACTACACATTTAGCACCATTACATTCATCAATTTTAAAAATTGTCAAAAATTATTTTTCGTATCAATTATTCAAATTTTGACAATATATGATTATCAAAATTGTCATCAATTATTGTACAACTATCGTTATTAAAATTTTATTAGCAGCTGATTTTTGAAATCGAAAGTTAGTAAGTAGGACGTGCCGTAATTTTCTTGTAGATTAATTGCTTTCTTAGAGTAGAAGTGTTATTTTGGAGTTAATGCCCATAGTCTAACAGTGGCCCACTCAATATTCGATCTTGCCAAAATTCTCTTCCTGGGATTGGAGATTGGTGATCCAAGTTAAGTTGAGTTGCAATGATATGGTTTTCATAAACAATAATGTTATTAGCAATTATTCACTATCGTAATTGCTTTACGTGGTATATATGCATCGATTAGTGATTTGATGTATTAATGTAATAATTTTTTAATGTCTTATGTATCAAATTATTAACCGCCACATGTATGTCACGTAAGACGATTACTATAGTTAGCGACTGCAAATAACATTACTCTTTCATAAAGCCCTAGCTGAAAGGAAAATTAAATCAGAAGTTGTGTCTTGTCAAAACTTTGAAAATAAGAAACGTTCTAATTTTATGTTTATTATATTAATATTTGAGGTTCGAGAATAAAAAAAAAATGTTCAATTTATATAATTTTAAAAGTTTGACAACATTTGAGAAAAGTTTTTATTCAAGAAACCATTAAAAACTATCAAAGCTCTAACGTAAGTTTAAACTTAAAAGGGGGGAAACCTCATATTTTAATATCGAAATGTCTTTAAATAATTGAAGTGCAAAAAATAAAATAAAAGGTCAATAAAACAATGTACAAAACTCCGCAAGGCCGTGCTTAAATCCACTTCATTGGGTTGAAAGTCTTTTTATAATTGTTGTCTGTGCGTTTGACTGTTTAAACAATTTTCTTGTTTTTTCGACTTACTCTTTGTTACATCATGTCTCATTTTTTTGAATACAAAAATATTTTAGCCCCTGTTTGATTTACATTAAAATTTTCATTTTCATTCTTTTACTAATTTTTAACCATACATTTTTAATAAATTAATATTTTACGTCATATCAATAACTTTTCCTTCTTTTTCAACCACAAATTTTCCATCATTCTACTGTTACAAAATACATTCTTCCAAAATATTGTGTCTCAAACACATAGACATCATAAAGCTTGCGTTGTTCCATAATAAATACCTTGTCATTTTAAGTGAAAAAATTGATAATTTTTCACACTTTTCTCGAGTGGTAGTTTTTGTTCGGTATTTGGCAACTCTACCTCGGGATATTCGTCAATTTCCAATTCTTGATGAGCTCTTTGCCAATTATCCAAAATTTAAGAGTAATGTTATTCATCCTCAATGGGGATAAAAATACAGTTTATATGGTTTTAAATGATAGGTTAAATAAAATGTGAAATTAAATGACTTATTTAATTTCACCTATCATTTAATCTCATATTCAAGCCACGTAAACTGTGTTTTCATTCCCAGTGGGAATGAATAGCATTACTCAAAATTTAATGACGACCGATGTCATTATCCAAAATTTAATGGCGCTCGACGTCATTAACCCAATTATCATTATTTTAATTTTGAAAAATGATACTTGTACACCTCATGGTGAACATGTAGATTTACACCCACTCACATGGAAGGAGCTCGTGTAAAATAAATAATAATTTTATTGTACACATGTACGTGTAGTACTTCCGTGTAGTATCATCCTTCTTAATTTATTATTATCGAGCCTTGAGCTTCATAGGATTCCAACACCAGGCATATAAAAATACCCATTTGCCACCGAAAGTATCAAAAATAATTGTTTGTCACTGCAAACAAACAAGGCTCTAGGTGTTGGCTCAGTGTCGGTGTTTCCATGTGCCAGCCACTTGCTGACGTCATGGCTCACCAAATCACTAAAATATTTTTGATTAATTAAAATTACCAGCTCTAGAATTTTTATTCAATTTCCTTTTTTTTTTTTAATAATTGTTTTTAAAATATATAATTAAAAATAATAAATCATGTGAAGAATTAGAAACGCATTTTTATTCATTTATTCATGTACATGTGACTTCCCTGATAAATCGTACAAATAAAATATAATAACAGAAAATGAAATAAATATTAAACTAAAATTACAACAAAATCAAACAAAGAGACAAATAAATCCCAACCGTCCAAAAGCCACATCTATATCTCCACAAGCCTCCACGTTGTAAACCTACATCAACGCCACCGACACAAGTGTTGCAGCGAAGGCAGTGCCGCCAATCGCCGCCCTGTTGACCCACCCGTCATTTGAACCATCAGATGGCGTCTGATCAGCACTTGGGCCTTCTGTGGGAACCCCAGGGGTGGGTGCAGATGGTGCACTGCCTCCTGGTGCAGGACCCCCAGGGCCAGGGGTGGGTGCAGATGGTGCACTTACTCCTGGTGCAGGAGATGGGGTTCCGGTTTCAGTTCCGGGGGCAGGTGATGGACTTGGAGTTTGAACTGAAGCCGGAGCCGGAGCTGGAGAAGGAGACGATGGAGCCGGTGATGGAGCTGGTGTCCCCACCGCGGGGGCTGGTGTTGGGGTGGCGGTGGGTGAGACCTTTGGTGCCCCTGCTGGTGCTTGTGCCATGCACGAGGTTGTAAAGAGTGCTAATAGAATCAGCAGCTTAAAACCTGATGAAGAACCCATAGTTTTCTAGAGATTAATTCTGCAGTGAAATGAATAAAGGTGATGAACGTTTCAAATTGTGAAAAGAAGAGTATAAAGCCAAGCCAAGCCAAGATATAGAAAAAGTAGAAAGAGAGAGAGAGAGAGAGTAAACAATAATGAGAAGCGTTCGGATGATTTATATACAAATAGACCTATACATACAAGTATATATGTGCGGGGTTTAGGATATGAACGGGGCAACTTCATGTTAAATAAAAAAGAAAAATTATGCTATATAAGTACAGAATTTTTTGACAAAAATTTTTGGACCTTACTTGTTGCATATAATTTTTGTACATAAAAGTTCCACCACATGTGAGGGAAAGCACACCCTTATGTACATTTTTTCATGTACATCAAGCATAATTCAAAATTTTTTCTACAAACAACACATGACACGACATCATTGGAAGATAGAAAAAAATGATAATAAAAAAAGAAGTAAACTATGAATAGTCTTTAAAGGGAGTTGCTTGAGTTTTATTTTCAAGACTTCTTATACACATTGATCGAATAATCATTTTTTTTTTTTGTAATAAAAAAAAGGGAAGTAACCAATATACATAAATAAATTAGAGACGGAGACGCGGAAAGAGAAGGTCCAAAATTTATGAGTAATGTTATGCAGTTTTTTGTGTAGATTGCGTTAGATAATATGTTAAATGAAATGTGGAATTAAATGACTTATTTAATTCGACTTATCATTTATTGTCACGTCAAATTGAGATTGTAATCCAAATGAAACTAGCATTACTCAAAATTTATTTGTTCGAGTCTAGTTTTACAATTTTTTGACAAAAAAAAAATTAAGAATAATGTTAATTTGCCCAAAAAATAAGAGAAAGTGGCATAATGGTTGACATAATAGGTGTTGACAAAATGTAATTGGATGAAAAAATTGATTATGTTTTAAATCGTTAATATTATGTTGTCATGTGACAGTATGTTAACGATTATATCAACTATTATATCTATATATCACGATTCAAAAATTAATTTAATGGGTAACTTTCTAGAACACAAGAACTGTAGTAATTTTTTGTTGTTCGCACAAAGTAATCATCATTATTCATGTACTGTAGCTGTACTGATTGCAGCATTGACAAACACGACTTTAAGTATTTTTCCTTTATTTGGGTTTATTTATTTAAATTATAAGTTAGTAAAAATGAGTAGTTAATGATAGTAACGAAAATATGAGAATTTTATAAGGTTAATCTTTAACTGTCATTGAACCGTTAATAGTGAATTTTTAAAATGTTCAAATTTAGATTTCACCTCCAAAAATTTTGATCCATAAATCAATTATCAGTACAAATGATGTTTCTGTTTGATAGAAATTAAAATTAATAATCACATATTTTATGGAATTTACAATTTTTTAAATATATAATTCATTAATTCTTATTAAAATTTATGAAAATTTGATTTTAATTCTAACAAAAAATGGGCGATGTAAGAAATATAAGGAAAAGGCCAAACGAACAGGCTCGATGACAGGAGCCTGTTCCAAGGGCTGAAATGTCAGCCCCTGATTGACAATGTTTTGTATTGTTTTTTTTAACTTCCAATAAGAATTCGCCAAGTGTCTATATGTTTGAAAATCTGTCATTGAACCTGTTTTTATAGCATTCTCGAAATATAATTAATCTTCATTGAAAATTGGTATTTGGTTGCTCTATCTAAATCAAAACTATTTCTTTGGGACGCTACCAATTGTAGTGGTTAAATTAGCTGTATTATAGCTGTTTACTGTAATTGAAAAATAATTGGGGACAGAGAAAAAATTATATTAAATTAAATAAATTATGGTGTGATGGGAAACAGCCAGCATCTTCAATTTTAAAAAAAGGTTGTCTAAAATTCTCAGCACTTTCTATGTCCTATCATGAATCCATAATCTTATTACCATCAAGAAAGATCGAGGAATCAGATCCCATAAATAATTTAAAAAGGAAAAAAGAAAATTAAAAATTTGTCTTGACATTTATTTGCAGTACTCATATTACGAATCAATATACTATTTTAGATTAAATAAAATTTATCTGAGTATCGTGTTATATAACCAATTTTTTAAAAAATCGGATCGACCTGATCGATTTTACCGGGAAAATGGGAACCGAACTCAAAACCAGTCTGATTTGGCTTATAAAAGTTAAAACTTTTAATCAAAATCCTCCCAAAAATCCAATCAACCGAATGATGAAACACGTGACCCGCTCTCGATTTCGCCGGGTTAAAAGTGAAAAGGTTAAAACCTTTGAAACCCTTATTTTTACAGCAATCATTCCGTCTCCTTTAAATTCTCTGTGCCATGTTAAAGATTCAAAACACATATTATTTCTTCCAAATTTCCGTACTTGAATTTTCTCTATGAAAAATTATATTTTCCAAGATTTTATTTATGTGAGCTCCTTCAGTCCTTTGTCAGTTTTTCAACAATTAGCACTTCAATTTCTTTGTATGCTTTTAATTAAAAAAAAAAAGATAATAATGCCGTATATTCTATTTGGGATTTCAAAATATTATTCTTATCAATACATTATCAAATTTGTGTTAGGTTTTGATTGATTTATTCCCCTGCTCGAAATGTTACCCAACTTGCTTTTCATTCTTTTAAAATTTATATTTTTTTAATATTTTAAAAATTATATCGTTTTAATCCCGGGTCGACCCATTAATCCTTGACTCTTTGTTTTTTAAGTCGATTTTTAAAACACTGGTTATAACTAAATAATTATGAATGACAATTTCATAATTTTTCAACACTCCTCAATTAGGACCATTTTCATAATTATCTCCTTAAAAACTCAGTAGGACAAAAAAATCAAATAAAAGGAAAAACAATACGACTATCATGGTAAAATTTTGGAGGATTAAGAAAATGTTCCTCATTAAAGCCTTACCGGAAAGCTCAATGGGACCAACCATGGACGAAAGAAAAAGATTACAACTGCTCTCCCTAATTTCAATTAATAAAAGTCCTTGTATCTAATCATTCATATTTTGTGCGCATATCTTCAATACACCATCTTTCAAAAACGTGTATGAAATAATTTTAATTTCTGATGAATTATGTTTCATATCGTCTTGTTATAGTCCCTATGCAATACCATCTTTATACAACTTATTAACATATTCTTGTTTCACATTAGTGTGATGGTCCACTGAAAAATAAATTTTGTCATTGCTCTCTTAGGAGTCTTGTGTACAATTTATGATGCATGAGATTAAAATCATAAAGTTACATTTAAGGGTAATGTCATGTAAGCTAGGGACATTATTAACGTAAGGAATATGTCTCATTGAAATCTCAATAAGAAAAAAAAATCTTAATTAAGAAAAAATAGTATATTATTCTTTTGAATACACTTTAAAAGTCATCTCATTAAAAATCTAATAAGAAAAATTCAACGTGACAACTCTTGCTTTAAAAAAAAGAATACAATACGTATTTACCTCATCATAATATTACTTGAACTATGTGTTTCATACATATTAAATCATAAAAAGTTAATAGAAATAGTATCGGTAGGTATCGTTGAGTTAGTTATAACCATATTTATTAGAGGCACATCAAATTACAAATTTTATGCATTGCCAGTCTAAAAAAAATGTAAACTTGTGATTACATCCATCACATGATAACATATTTATAACTCTTTGCAAATTTAGCATATTAAGACTTGTGCATTATAGGTTACAAATTTTTATTTCTCATTTTCATTTCACATAAGTATACATTTTAGGTATTCGGATTGTAGGTCCAAAAACTTCAAGTTTCTCTAATAAGTTGAATTTTACGTGTTTTCTGTTTTGCCAATTATTTGTACATTTGTACTCTTCAACTAATTTTCGTCAATATCATCTCCATCATTCATAATATAAAGTGCTACATTATGTTTAAAAGGCGGTCTTAATAAAACAATTATTTGTACATTTGTACTCTTCAACTAATTTTCTTCAATATCATCTCCATCATTCATAATATAAAGAGCTAAATTATGTTTAAAAGGCGGTCTTAATAAATATTTATTTTCAATTCCAATTCATCCTCCACGACGACATAACTTCTTGAGATATTGCAATTGTAAATATTTTAGGTACCTAAAATTCTTTTTCAGAATTATACAATTAGTTATGTCTATATATTCTCTAGGAGTATACGCCTCCTAATATGATCATCTTTACTATTTACTTCATTTTTCTTCTGGAATTTTTTGTTTTAGAATTGAATATCATCACGTTTCGGGCATAACATACATTTATTTAATATAATGTTAAGAATTGTCCATTTAGGATATCAATTCGAGTTTCGTATTTAAAGTTGGTGTGTGAGATATTGTTAATCTCTTTGATCATTAGATGCAATTAAATAATTACTATCCGAACTTCCGTTTTAATTTGTCTTTTATGAAGATCTAGATAATATAATGGTGAATTATGTTTATTATTTTTTAAATTTATCCATTAATGCTAAGAAAACTATTCAATCAAAATAAGAGTCAACAAATTGCGTTGTAAAATTTCACAAGTTAGGGGTTTAAGATATTTACAAATTTTTTGACTAAACATGTAGTTTTAGCATTCTTTAATGTTCGTCTCAATGCACTGTACGATGTCTGTAAGTATTGCTGCATATAAAATATAGTAATGTTACCAAGAGATTCTTGAAATATAAAATAATATCTATTTTAGAGAGTCGATAATTAAAGTTACGCTCCAAAAAACTCTTTAAATTAACATTTTAATTTAGAAAGTGGGTATGACTCTCCGAATTTGGAGATCCAAACTCACTTTTTATAATAAAATACATTCAAAGTATTTTGATTTTCAATAGAGAAAAATTAGAAAATAATGTAGAGAAAAGTTAATAATAATAAAAGATATGAAAAAATAATAAATATTTTCTAAATTTAGAGATGCTCTAAATGACACACATGATGGTGTTATAGAACCACAAGTGCTAGATTGCATTA